CCAACCCATGGCATTGTTCTCCAGCTTATTCGAAGAGTAGAAGGCTCAGGACACAAACTTTATATGGACAGCTATTTCAGTTCCCCTGCATTGTATGACGATCTTCTAGAGCGTAAAATAAATTCATGTGGCACCGTTTGCAATGACAGGCGTGGAATGCCATAAGAAATTCGGCCCAATTCGCTGAAATTGAAAAAAGGGAACATTGTGACAAGAGTGAAGGGGAATCTAAGTGTTGTTCGTTGGAAAGACAAGTGCGATGTGTATGTTCTGATGAATATGCACCCTCCTCCATCGGATGGAAACTTCCGAGATGAATCTGGCCATGCTACCAAACCTCATGTAATTGAAGACTACAATGCACACATGGGCTTTGTGGACAAATCTGATAGAATGGTGAACAGCTATGGCATTGCTCGGAGGACATGGAAATGGATGAAGAAATTATTCTTCCACCTCCTAGACATAACTGTTCTCAATGCCTATCTGTTACACAATTCATGTGATGGAAAAATGACGCACAAAAAATTCCGCGAAATTTTGGTGCGTGATTTGATTCTTCAATCGCATGAGGCGAATACCACGGTCAGTGGCGTTTCTCGGGGGAGGCCAAGTTCATCTGGGGCCCAAATGAGTTGACTGGAGGTGAAACATTCAAAACACTGGCCAGCTAAGGGGAAACAAAGACGTTGTCGAGTTTGTTCTATAAACAAGAAAAGCAGAAGCATGCTTTTCTGCTGTAAAAAGTGTGATGTTGTGCTGTGTGTGGTAGACTGCTTCGAGAAATGGCACACGCGCGTCAGAGTGTAAGCTGTGAAGTGACGCAGTCCAAACCGTGTACAGTCCGAACCAAATATTATTGTATATAGTGTCATCATATTTACATCAACACCACGATTCAAGGTTGAAGAAAAATAATGGGTAAGTCCTTTAGAATTTCATAACGTATTTAATAACGATTATATTTTGCATTTCATGACAAAATAATCACAGTTAATTTTCATTTGTAAAACTTGCCCTTTTGTCTATATGTAGAAAATTTTATTGCCTTTCAGGTTCTTTTTAGTTCATATTCTGATGTTGCATAGAACGGAAAATATGCATTTTTTTTTTCTGAAAGTCTGCAATGTTAAAGACTTAGGGCCATTTAACAGCCGACAATTTAAAAGTACGTATGTTAAAGGTTAAAGGTACAGTAATCAGTAATAACACAGAGAGATATTGGGTTTTCAGACTTTATCCATCATCCTGGTTTTAAGATAACTAAGAAAAACACGACGTTTCAGAAACTGTATCTGTTTCCATCCTTAGGTGAGGGAAAACACCTATTCTGTTGGTCCCTTAGAAAGAGCTAGCCTCAATCACTCGACGATTTTCTAAGAGACCCAACAGAATATGTGTTTTCCTTCATCTGAGGACGGAAACAGATCCAGTTTCTGAAACGTCATGTTTTTCTTAGTTATCTTAAAACCAGGACGATGGATAAAGTCCGAAAACCCAATATCTCTGTGTGTTATACACCATCGTCAGAATCCTATAGTAACTACTAGTAACAGCACAGTTTAGCAGCCATCATAACTGTGGTCACAAAATGTTTACTTTTCCCAACATCAGGACAATGTTACCTTTCAGATAAATGACCTTATATGTCTGTAAGTGCTTCTGCTTGTCCATATTTTGAACTGGAGAAAAACATTACTTTCAGAGGTTGCATCCTGTTGTGTGTCACAGACAATATATAATATGTAGGAACTATGCTACTGTCAACACAACAAATATTTCAGTTATTACATTATATCTTTATTACTGCAGCATGCTTCGGTTATACATGACCATCATCAGGCAGGAATACGTATAGTTACTGAAATACTGATACGGATCCGTATCAGCATAACACGTCGCATTGAATATTAACACAAAACTTTGCCTCAGATAGGAGTATAGTTAAAAATAGCAANGTATTTGCTATGTCCATGGTTTATGCTAACCGTCTTACAGTGTATACACTTTTTCACCTTATTCTCCACTTCCACACAACATGTTTCAGCACTAATGTGCCATCCTCAGGTGTCTTTATGTACATTAAACTATTGTACTGCATGCCATGATGTCTTCATTCTAAAATGACTATATGACATATATGACGAATACAGATTTTAGTCATTTTAGAATGAAGACATCATGGCATGCAGTACAATAGTTTAATGTACATAAAGACACCTGAGGATGGCACATTAGTGCTGAAACATGTTGTGTGGAAGTGGAGAATAAGGTGAAAAAGTGTATACACTGTAAGACGGTTAGCATAAACCATGGACATAGCAAATACACGATTAAGAATAAAAATATAGAAATAAATAACTTACAAATAAACGGAAAAAACCAAACTATGTTCCTACAACATTAAAAACATGTATAAAAATATACCATTTGATGAAATAAATAACTTAGTAAGCAGAATTCTCAATAATGATAACGAAATTTCTACACGTGAAGGACAGGATTTGAGAATACTTCTAAATACCATTCTTTAACATAACTACATGCAATTCAATGACCAATTTTATAGTCAGAACAAAGGCCTTACAATGGGCGCACCGACGTCAGCTATCTTAGCTGAAACTTTTGTACAATATTTGGAGCACACAAAAATTATCAGAATTTTGAATAAACACCAGATAGTAGATTATTGCAGATATGTCGACGATATGTTGATCATATACAATAAAAACACAACAAATATAGAAAACACCTTAAATAAATTTAATAAAATACATCAAAATATAAAATTCACCATGAAAAACAAAATAGATAACACATTAAATTATCTAGATTTAACCATTAGGAAGAAGCATAATAAATTAACATTTGGCATATATTATAGAAAACCCACTAACACAGACCTAATCATACACGACTCCTGCGACCTGAATGAACATAAGAATTCAGCAACAACATACTTGATCAACTGCATGACTACATATCCAAGTACCTATGAAAACAAAATAACAGAATTAAGTACTATAAACTAAATATTAGCCAACAACCATTACCGACAACACATAACTAGCACAGTAATAAATCAACATACTAGCCCCCAAAACTTGCGTAACATAACAAAAACAAAAAAGGACAAATGGACCACCTTTACATATTATGGCCCCAAAACATGAATGATCACAAAATCATTTAAGAACACCAATGTTAGAATAGCATTCAAAACAATGAACACCACAGGGAGCCATTTAAAACAAAAGAAACAAATAACAGATATATACAAGAAATGCTGTGTATACCAACTAAAATGTAATGAATGTCCTTTGAGATATGTTGGGCATATACGTTCAAAGATCGATATATAGAACATATTCAAGCCATAAGAACGAATAAACACACATCAAAATATGCTAAACATGTACTTGACATGGGCCACGCATATGGCACAATCAAAGAAACCATGGAAGTGATACAAACAGCAAAGAAAGGCCATTTACTTACTACACTTGATTGATTTTATATATATGACTAAAGCAGAAGGAAACTACAGATGAACGCCACACACACAGATACACATAATCCTTTCTTTGTCCTTATAATAAATAATTTCAATTAATACATCTGAATAACATTCCCATCCCCTCATATTCCCATCATCACGCCCCCTTCTTACATGCACATACACACACACATGCACTCATAACATATATCCAACCTCTTCTCACCCCTCTCTTCTTCCACACCAAGCTCAATTCACCACCATCGTCCCCAAACAATATAAGTCAAACCATCACACAGTGTAGAACACATCGAATGTGTATACACCCAGACAAGAAACATATGCCACAGAGCAACGTTTCGTAAGTAATATCACTATATTTACAAACGCCCTATATTTTTAATCATTACACACACTTACCTATACATTTTTCATGATTTCAGATATATATGACACATAGCGTGGGAATACCATACCAAATACCAGCATACCACCAAACTTGCAAATCATAAGTAATTAACATGTCATTGATACTTATTACTATATAGTCAAGTTATAACACATTAAAACACTAACAGACTGATACTCATTTATTACAGATTGAAAAACATTTCTTTGGGCCTCACATACAGGGCTTATTATGTAGAATTTTGGCAAAAAGATCTACACGACATACACGCCCAATTTCTATAAAGCAGGATATCTAGCAGGATATCCCCTTAAAATAAAATATTTTAGTTGGGATACAGACCCCTAACCCACCTACATATATATTTTTTTTTAATAACTTTTAATATACTTTATATACTTCTAATATACCTTTAATATATTTTAATAACATTTTCAACATTTTATATATAGTATACCCTTATTTATTTCTATCTTTTTATTCTTAATCATGTATTTGCTATTTTTAACTATACTCCTATCTGAGGTAAAGTTTTTATGTTAATATTCAATACGGCGCGTTGCACTGATAAGGATCCGCATCAATATTTCAATAATTATGTATTTCTGCCCGATGATGGTCATGTATAACCGAAACATGTTGCAGTAATAAAGATCTAATGTGATAACTGAAATATCTGTTGTGTTGAGGGTAGCATAGTTCCTACATATTATGTATTTCAGAGAAAAAAAAAACACTGAAAGAATTCTATGGACACAGAGTACAATATAATAACAAACATTTTGGAAACAGAAGAATTCTGTCTTCTGGGATATAACGCTATCTAGCCCATTGAAAATCTGCCTGCCACCACTTTCATGTTGGTTCCTTGTTTGGCTTATTCTTGAACCCTGAAGATTGAGGCAACATGTTCCTCTGACACATCAGTTGACTTTCAATGGATTACATGGCATTCTATCCCAGAAGACAGAACTCTTCATAACCACCACTGTGAGAACCTCAAAAAACAAAAAGTGTTTGAGAGTTTGGGACTTCTGACACGTGATACAATATCATATATCATCATATAAAATTAACATACAAGGACATACTAACCAGTAGTTCCTGAATCTCTCTCAAGTGGCATGGCCATACCATGTGCTTCTAAACATTCTTTCAGCTGCTTTGGACTGCTTGGAAAATCCACTGCAACAATAGCAAGACTTGAAACAAAACAAGATTTTATATACACAGACTCCAATGATCACATTCCTTCTTTGTTGCTCGGCAACTCAAGAGATTCCCCACTTCTTTTGGCACCTGAAGATTCATTACCATGTTCACAACAGCCTGCCACTGATCCCAATCCTGAACTTGATAAATCCAGAACAGCACCCTTCATCCTACTTCTTTATGACCCATTTTTTAAAATGTTTCTGCAAACACTGCAAAAATCACTTATCATGTCATGTCATGTCTGTCTCTCTGTCTGCATACCTACCTGCCTGCTCACATGTCTGTCCACATGCAACAACTCAGCTCCCACATGGACTTTTGGTACAGCTTACATTTGACAATTTTGCTAAATGTGCTGGAAGAATTAAATTTTATTTAAAATCAGGCAAAAATATGGACACTTAACATGAAGATCCAAATACATTTTTCACAGTATCTCACTCAGTGAAGAGAGCACACAGGGGTTGCAGAGGAGTAAAGCCATAGTCATCACATTCATCAATTTCACACACATATGAAATGTATGAATGTGCCTCATATTTTACATTATACATACGTGTCCTGTCCCATAGCTTCTTAACTTGTACTCTTCTCCAACTATAATTAGAATAATCAAGTTAAGGAGGATGAGGTGGACAGGCCATGTAGCATGAATGGGGGAGAAGAGGAATGCATATAGGATATTGGTGGGAAAGCCAGAAGGAAAGAGACCACTGGGAAGACCATGATGTAGATGGGTGGACAATATTAAAATGAAGAGAGAGGGTGGGATGGGATGGATTGGATTGATATGGCTCAGAATAGGGACCAGTGGAGGGCTCTTGTGAACAAGGGAAATGAACCTTCGGGTTCCATAAAATGCTGGAAAATTCTTGAATAGCTGCAGAATTGGTGGCACCTCAGGAAGGGCTCAGCTCCATGAGTAAGTAAGTAAGTACTATCCTATATTTTCCCCCCATCTATGCCTAAGTTTTCAAAATGGTTCCTTTGCTTCAGGTTTTCTGATCGAAACATTGCATGAATTTCTTATCTCTCTCACACATGCCTAATTTATCCTTTTTGATTTCCAAATCCTGTGTCCATTTTCATATGCTTAGACTGCTCCAAAAAGACTCCATTCAACCCAGAGGTTCTATGGCATATTTCATAACATTCCTGTGGTGATGAGTTCTGCATAGAAATTGTGCACACAGCTCATGAATAGCCACTATATTCACTGCTCATGTGTTATAAAACTTAACTTCCATGTTTCTACAGCAGTAATTGGCCTACATCATTAGTGAGTGAATTACCTTCATTCTCTTCTATGGACAATTTGTTATGAAAATGTTGCAAAATTCTCATTATGAATTGTATTGCGGCAAAAACTGGGTACCTGTGTAGTGTTCATGCGTTTCTTTTAAAATTGCATTTTGAACTGTGCAGTATCAAAATGAAGGAAGCAGCCTGTATTATTTATACTTATGGCTTACTGAACAATGATTTCAATAGCTCAGATTATAAACTGACACATAACAGGAATACTGCTGTAAAATGATTTTAAAAGAATGTGGAACCAGTTGAGGCATAATTCAAGGCACTACTCCAGGATTTACCACAAGAGACTAGCAAAAGCCACAAAAATCTCAGTCAGAATAGTCAATACCTTTGCCAAGATTAGAACCAGAGACCTTCTGAGTACAGAGTGGGAATGCTAATCACTAATCACTCAACTGTAACATCGTTTTAGCTGAATGAAATCCACAATACAACATGGAAGTACTTCAATGCCAGGGGTTTCCCCAAAGAAAACCATTCTATGCACACCCTTGGTAATTAAGTTCAAGAGTTAATTTTACTGTTAACTGTTATTACTTTAATAGAATTTGGCCTCTGTGAAACCTCAAAAATAAGAGAGTAAAGTGAAACAATGTAGGAAAAGTCTGAATGGTACAGAACATATAATCTCCACCCAGTTCATATGATAGCATATATTTGTTTATGACGAAAGAATCAAATCCCAAGATAAATCATTCTAAACCGCCTAAACTATCTTCCAATTTAAATTCTACATATAGTTACTAAGCCAAATTCAAGCCATTCAAACCTAACCCGACTCTTAATGTGTTATTTAATTGTTATTTACAATTATTAAACCTAAGCAGTCAAAAGGGGATGCCTTTAGCAGAGTGTGTAGAGGTCACACAAGGTACACTCATGAACACTGCATCAAATTTATTCTGTACTATAGTTATAAACGTAGGGCAACAAGCAAGATCATTGGGACTAACTTACTTGCAATTAGAAATGCACTACTAATCATAACAAATGTTAACATACCATATTCTTCTTGGTAAGTATCAAGTGTAGGTAACTCCAAGTCAAATCCTTCAAGGCTTAAGGCAGAGTCGAGCCTGTCTCTTGCTGTATTGGCTGTAGCGGTGGTAGTAGTGTTAGTACTAGTGGGTGAAACTGCTGCTGATGCATTATCTAGAGATACAAATCCAACTGGCACTGAATCTTTCGGTGCTGGGTTGTCTACTGTCTCAGAAAGACTCTGTTAACAAAGCATATAAACACTGATTTTACGCCAAAAATGCGACAGAATGCTAAATCAACTTGTTATAACTTAACTTTATTTGTTATGTACATCCACACATAACTGCATGTACAAATATAATTACCTGCTCACTTAGAGGCGAGACTTGGTCAGACACTTCACTAATATCCATTTTGTCTGATTCAGTGAGTGTATCATTCTGAGTCTCCCCGTTTTCGCTACTAAAAGAAAAAAATGCGTATTTAAAATAAGATGACAGCCCGTAAGGTTATGTCAGTGTTGACATTTACTAAATCAAGCTCGCAATTCTGACTTTCACAGAACACCTCCTTCCACACATTGCTACAAACAATAATGAATATCTCACATGTCACTCGAAACGAACCTCATTGACTGTTCTCCTAGTTTATATTATTTTAAGCCAAAACTCCAGCATAAAAGTTCCTACAGCACCAAAGTTTAATTCGATATTACTCCGAAACACTCACAGAAACAAAAGTGAACACCACTGACCACAGAGAACATGAACGAATGAAACAAAAGGACGATATCGGACGATATTGTGCGTAACTCACAGACAAACAAAGATTATAGAATGACTGCATCAAGATTTTATTACGCAAGTCTTCGATCTATGCGTTCTCATTGAGCAGTCACACTGATCACAAGTGCCGCATTAATTCTTCATGCCACACAATGGCACTGCCTGCGTAAAAAAAACCATTGAGCCTCCGATAAGATTGAACAATTGTATTATATTGGACAGCCTTTGTGGTCTAGTGCAGTGTTCCGCATCCTTTTTCTACTTGCGGCACACCATGAAGTATCCATGACTCAACACGGCACACCAAAATGTTATTCCCCTTAAAAACGATTGATATCAGACAATTAATATGAATACGTAACGTGTGGAAGTGGCACGACAGAAGAAAACCGGCAGGATGGTGTCCCGCCGTGCGACAGTGGCATGGCTCAGGAGGAACAACCTCAGGAACACCACCCAGAAAAATTGTAGACCCCACAAGAGATTGGGATTCGCCAGCAAGTGGACGACCAGCCGTGGACCGGCAAAAGGAAAACGTTGGGAGAAACCGCACTAGGGCCATGATTCAGCGAGCAACACAGAAAGAAGTGATCAAGAATTGGACCTTATGGAGGGGTAGGCCCCCTCCAAAGCGGAAAAAGTAACTACGGGTAGAGGAGGAACCAGTAACGTAGAAATACCGGCCTCCCGAGGAAGAGTGCATGTGCGACGAATGAATATGATGCAACGGGATCTTCTAGGCGAGCTGAAAGGAAACCACTCGAGACGAGCTGGTCTTAAGAGGGGAACGGTTGTAACGGCCGGATAATAGTCGCTGCAAGGAGTAGCCGAAACAACAGGAGACCCACCAAGCACATTCTTGGAAGAAAAGGCACGGGGATGCACCGTTAGGCTATTCGGGACGAACAACCTTAAGGAGGGAGCAGTGTGACATGTTGCGCAATGGAGGACACTCCCTCCCTCCCCAGCGGCGGCGTGGCGGCTCTGGCCACGGTGACGTAGCAGGTGAGTCAGCACTCCCCCCACCGTGCTACGTGGTACCGCTTCCTACTGTGACAAGACACGCAACGCCGCTGTTGACACGGGCAACAGGCAACAGCGAACGGAATAAAAGCCGGCTGAGCAGCAAGCGAGAGTTAGTGTGCGATCAGGAGTTAGTGTGTGATCAGGAGTGACACAGTTAAGTGTATCAGTCGCCGAAGTGAGTCCTCAAGGCAGCAGCCTACGAGTTAAGTTGGAATATAGCAGCCGTCGCGGAAAGAAGAACCGGACGCGTGTGTGATAATCAGTGATTGTTTGTGATAACTGAGTAATAATAGGGAGTGTGTGATATAGTGACACTTGTATAGCTCCCGTATCGTAATTAATACGTGTAGACTACTGAGGACAGAGTGAATTGTTTATTGCGAACAGGGTTACAAAGTGTGAAACCCCGCAACAGTATTGTAACTAATTGTAGCCGAGACTGGTAGGTTGTTAAATAAACCAACTAACAATCCGAACGGCGTCTTCAGTAATAAAACACGTTTCAATATTATTATATTGCTTTTTATTATCATTAAACAGACCATATTTCTGCATATATGTTTGGAAATAAGGATGATTTCAATGTTCTCTAACAAAATCGGGGTTTCCTGTGTTTTGGACATCCCTTGCCAGTTACTATTCTTAATTCTCTGAGTAACGGCACTTTTACCACTTAAAATACAAGCAGGTATCTTGGCTATTTCGAAAGGGAGGGGGTGGTATTTTCCTGCATTGCTTTGACCACCACAGCAGACAGTAGCATCAGAGGGTTGGTCTCGAGAGAAGTCTATTCAGTTAATGTGTTACTCTTTACTTTAATAATCTGCATCAAAAAGTGTTCATGTACTGAAAATGCCTAAAGAAAAGTGCAGCAGTAGATATTTAAAAATTCGGTGGGTGTCGGGTAATAGTGACTATTCAACAGACGATGTCGTCATGTACTGTCAAGTGTGCGCAAAGGAAGTAAAATGTGAAAAGATATTTCAACTTGAACAACAGTCCAGAACGACTACACATATTACGGCAAATAAGGGGAAGAAGAACAGCACACCACAACTACTTCCTACACAGGTCAAACCCAAATCCTCTGTTAATACATTTTTAGCCGGTCTTTGTAAGGCTTCAGTATGCAGCAACATTCCATGGAATAAATTAAGCAATTCAGTTCTGCGATCATTTCTGGAGAAATATTGTGTAATTAAAAAAATTCCATATGAATCAGCTCTTAGAAAAAAATTATCTACATTTGCTGTATGAATATACTCTGGAGTCAATCCGTTCTGACATCGGAGAGAACTGTGTCTGGATATCGGTAGATGAGACAACCGACTTATGTGGCCGATACATAGCAAATTTCGTAGTTGGTAAGCTACATCCAGACGAACCCGCAACCCTCATCTTCTTGCTTGCAGAGTACTAGAGAAAACCAACCATAGCACAATAGCAAGATTTGTAAATGATTCTCTGCGACTACTATGGCCATCTGAAATTGAGAATAATTGTTGTAAGGTGCTTGTATTACTAACAGATGCAGCTTCTTATATGTTGAAAGTAGCAAAGGCCTTACAAACGTAACCTGTTTAGCGCACGGATTACACCGTATTGCAGAAAAAATACGCACAGTTTCCAGCTGTTAACGATTTAATTGCAAGTGGGAAAAAACTGTTTCTGAAAGCACCAGTTCCTGTCCAGTTCTACAAAGATTGCCTACATCAGGGTCCTCTGCCACCTGAACCTGTCCTAACTAGGAGGGGGGCATGGATATCCGCAGTTTCAATTTATCAGGAGAATTTCAATCAAGTGAAAGAAGTGATTACAAAACTTGAATATGACTACGCATGTGTCCGTGAAGCAAGCGTGGTGTTTGGAAGTGATACTGTTTATCAAGATGTGAATATTATCCACGCACATTTTTCTACATCTTCAAAAGCCATTGAGAGCTTAGAATCTTGTGGTGCACTCATTCACTACTCACTTCAACTCGTTCAGAAAGCAACTTGTTCACTGAATTCCGCTCCAGGCGAAATTGGAGAGAAGATTAAATGCAAGCTAGAAAAGGCGTTGAAATCGAACCCAGGACTAAAAAGGATTCAATTAGTCAGTACTTGAGTGGAATTAGGGTTTCTTTGTTAGATGAATGTTCCGAACCTTCGGCGCCAGTGTATAAATGCTGTCCAATCACGTCAGTTGATGTAGAAAGACCATTCTCAGCCTATAAACTCATTTTGACGGAAAATAGACGTAGTTCGTGTCCAGAAAACATTGAAAGACTTCTAGTTTTCTATTGTGATGCTACTTTCTGCAGTGAATGATACATGTAAATAGGTGAGTCTGAATAAAGTGATCTGTTTCTTAAGGGCATATTGTTTCATTTTTGGTGCATAATTTCCCGCTTTTTAGCGCACATTTTTAGTGTTTTTAGCGCATAAAGATCCGGGCCCTACATATTACACATGTTGCAACAAATTGGCTACTCCCCACTGTGTATGTATCGATGTGCAATTGGAATTTGCACTTCACTGAAAGAATCACCACACTCATCACCGGAATATCGCTCAAAACCATCTGGAGGGGAATGAGTTAAATGATGTCAGACTCACTTCGAAAACAGAAAACACACAACGGAGTAAGAAACTCTGCAGTACAAGATATCAGGTTGCAACATTATTTATCGGGAAAAGTTTCTCACCAGTGCCTGTAAAATAAGAACATTTCATTTACATCAATTCAACACCCAATTACTGAAATACAATGGAAATTTGAACTATAACATATATAGGATACTTGTGTTTAGGAAAGCTGATAGTGGGTAAACTTGAAAGAATGTTCTGTTTCCATTAGAGATACTTATATTCAACTTAATAACTTTGCTTGAAACTTATATTTAAAAGCTACACAAAACATAGCTTTTCAGTTACATTAATGTGTTATAAATCATGTATAGGGAGCAATAATACTGAGGTTTCCATTAGTTATTAATTTCAGTAGAATAACGAAACTCGAGAATCTGATACACACTTTTGTTAACAAGATCAAGATTGCATTTATTAATGTATGAAAAGCATTAAAATAATTGTAGAACTCTGACAAACATCATAATCTGAAACATGCTCATGTTTCCAAATTCAATACTAAACATAATAATGTGGCCAATTAACTGAACAAATATACCATGAACCTTGAAAGTCATATACAGGGTGTCCCAGGAGGAATGGACCAAACTTCGGGAGGGTGTTCCTTATGTTAAAGTATGCCGATATAACCCAAAACACCTATGTCCGAAGTTGAACGATTACGGAGATGATGGCCCGAGAAAAGTGTGGTCTTCTGGCGGGTCCACGCACTATACCTGTCAGCTGAGACCTCGTTATCCGTTTGTCCTTGAGTGTCGTGATACGTACAGAGTACGTTGCGGCGGGGTCGTGATTAGTTGTGTGATGAGTTGCTGAAATGCCTCTTGTGTTTTCACACGTGGAATATTGTGATATGCATTTTGTGTGTGGATTTTGCGGTGGCAATGCACGTGCTGCTGTTGAAGAATACCAAAGGCGTTTTCCCGATCGAAGGATTACATGTTGAAGTGTATTTACGCGAATTCACCAGACATTGCGTGATACTGGTTCTCTTCCGAGTGTTTCTGTGCACTCTGAAACGGAGGATGTACGAATGATAAACATACGAGATGGTTCAGAGAATTCCGCATCTGTCCACTCGTAGAATGGCCTCCCGCATCTGCGATCACGTATGCAGGTGTGGCGAACTTTACATGATGAAGAGTTGTATCCTTACCATGATCAAAGGGTACAACATCTGGAACCAGGCGACCATGCTCAGCATATGGATTTGTGCCACTGGATGAAAGCTCATCCCGAACTGTTAAGCGTCATTTTATTCAGTGATGAGGCGTCTTTTACCCAGGACGGTGTAAAGAATTTACGAAATGTGCGTACGTGGTCCCATAATAATCCACATGAGATAATGGAAACGAAATTCCAAAAGAGATTTTCCTTGAATGTACGTTTAATACAGTTATGTGGTAGACTTATAACGCCGTCAGCCATGTTACGTCAGCGCTTGCCAGTCATGTGTCATGTATAGTGCTTGGAAACCCTAAGGACAATTATGACATGGCGATCGAGTATTTTGTACTTCAATTTTATGGCTTCACGTCACTCACAAGTTAGTTTGATGTTACGTACATTATTAACATTACAGAATCCACATATTCCTGCCAGTTTTAATATGTATTTTGTAATCAACAAGTGTGTAACAGTGGTCAAAGTTTGACACTTCTCTGGCCATTATCTCCGTAACCGTTCAACTTTGGACATAGGTGTTTTGGGTTATATCGGCATACTTTAACATAAGGAACACCCTCCCGAAGTTTGGTCTATTCCTCCTGGGACACTCTGTATATATATATTGTGACATGGATGGCACGGCGGGAAGTGGTAGTCGCGTGAACTCTGTGGTCTCGCGAGTGACGGCACATACCCTCACTCCTTCCATCAGTACGCAACGCTCTGTGGGCGGCCCCCTCACCCGCGGTGACTTGGCAGAGGAGCGGCTGTGTTGTTACCAAGGGATACCGCAGTTACTACGCAGCAGGAGACAACTCTCGACAGCGTTGCTAACAACACCGGTAAACACGGAGTCAGGCAACCCCGGTACCTATCACGTAACTGTTTTCTGTGTTGTCCGTGCCGAGGCTAAATAAGGAGCAGCGAACACTATTCAGTAGTGTTTAGTGAACCAGTTACTAGAGAGAGAATAACCAGTTAGTTATCAGCCGCCGAAGATAGTTGCAAGTCTAGCACTCGCCGGAGTGAATGGAAACATTGGAAGTATTTGTGATACTGCAGATGGCAGTACTTACCAATTTTCATATAATGAACCACCATAACCGCATATAATTGCGGGAATTCAAATTCGTTTGTTTGGTCGAGACCTGCGTGAAGTTTCTTCCGTCATTCATAGAGGCAGTAGTTACCGTGTTTCCCCTACACCAATCCCAGTTTTATCCCCCTGTCTCTGATTGGCTCACACTTATGCGATTCGATTAATTGTGATAGGTGTATAATGATCGATTCCTACCATTTCCAGACTATCTAGTTCATGTAGGATGTGTAGAGATGGCAGGTGTGCATCTTTCCCTTTCTCCCTATCCCAGTTTCTAACATCTGGTCGGGACGTTTGAATTGTTGATACATACATTTGTCAGTCGCAGTTTTTCTTGTACTTCCTGTTGTTGTTGTTTATTAAAATGTGAATGTAGTCCGTTAATTTGTGTGAAGGCATTTGTACCAAATTTGGACTTTTGAAGGGGTGGAAGCACCAGTAAATTTTTAAGAAACTGTACGTTAGTTGATAATTCGTTTATTCGGGGTTTTGTAGGTTAGAATGACTTCCATTATACCTACTCCATGAATATTTAGCATAATATCAAGTATTATCTTACACAAGCAGGGTTCATTATGCAGTTGAACGGTGGTTTAAGGATTCGCTTTTGATTGGGGACAGTTTGGCGCGTTGGTAACAATGGTATGTATAATATCTACTAACTCCAAATAATATAATGGTTTGGAATTCGGGGGTGGGGTGGGGAGCTTGTATTGTGGCGTTATATGTCGTATCATGCAGTGAGTGACAAAGTTCTGAATACAGACCCTTGGACTTGGAAAATTTTACCAGTGGTCAGTCAAGCATTGGAAATTGTGCCATGCTTCCTTCAGTGCATCTTTTCACTGAATTTATTTCATTTAGTAAACGTAAAAGGTTTACAAGGCCTCCGAAAACTAGATCGGATGATTTTGTATGGATGTAGTTTATCAATTTTCTGGGTCGTTTGATAAGTTTAATAAACCTCTGAGTCTTGTGGATCAAATATCAGAGGTCTCATTAGTAAAACAGAGGAAATAACTTTCTTTCAATTTAGATAATATCAGTCCGCAAGTTCTTTGTTTATCAGAGCATCATATGTGAGAGAACAATTTTGAGTCTTGTAAATATTGAAAATTATGTATCAGGGTCTTGCTTTTCTAGATGTACGTTTCAAAAAGGTGGTGTATGTATATTTGTTCATGAGGATATTCGTTTTTGTCAAGTTGATTTATTACATTTTTAAGTGGAAAAGAATTTAGAAATGTGTGCTGTTAAATTTGAATTAAATGGCTGGGTGTTAATTGTATTATGTTTATACAGATCTCTTGCTGGAGATTTTTGTCAATCCTTGGAATTGTTAGAACAAGTTTTATTATTGTACAAACCAACTACTGAGTTTTTGGTGTATGGAGATTTTAATGTTAACTATTTACTGAACGATAATCGGAAACAGCTGTTGTCAGTTTTATTAAGCACTTACAACATGATACATACTGTAAATTTTCCCACTAGATTACAAAATAATCATGCCTCAGCTATTGATAATGTCCGTAGATGAATCAAGATTATTTTCATGTATAATATTTCCTTTATCAAAAGCACTGTTTGATCATGATGCAGTGTCTTATACTCGATAAATATTTTGTTACTGTTAATAAAATCAATAATAAACTAAGAAATAAATTCAAATCTAGATTAATTATTTGTGAAGCTATCAATTATTTATCAGAACAGTTATCTAATGAAACATGGGGAGTAGCTTATCGTAATACTGACGTTAGCAGTGCTTTTAACACATTGTGGACCGGTGGTTTAAACATTTAAATCACCCTGGGGACCGGCGTTTTTAAACCTACTACCCTAACTTGTGCACTGTTCACTTTAAAAATTAATATAAAATCTCCTAATTAATTTTATGAACTGAAATTTTTGGAGAACACTTACCAGAGCTCCTAGAAGTGCTTGCGCATGTGATATCTCTGAAAACATTCCCCTTTGTGAAGAGGCATTACGCAGAATTTGCACATGTAGGCTGTTCTACTCTTCTTCTTGTGCTCTGCGCACACACGGCACTGCTTAGAAGGGTGTTTCTTCTTGCAATATTCACTCTTCACAATTTTCACGAGAATATGTTTCCGCATATCAACCGAGAGTCGGCCAGGGGAGTCTACTTGAGGCCTCTGTCGGGTGCGAACAGATGGCCCCAGCTGCACTACATCTGTGTCTGACGCAGGTACTGCCTCCACCGTGACGTCAGTAGCCCAAGCTTTTGCCAGTTTCAACAGAAATGCTTTGTATTTCAAAGTAGAATTTCTGTTCACCTTTTTGAAAACCGTAAATGAATTGAAAATTGCACAGTTTATAAGCCACAGTGCAACTTTCTTCGTCCATTTTACTGTTTTCCTAGGAAGGGAATAATAGGCCAAGAACTGGTTGGCCCTATCAACTCCTTTCATGAACATATTATACTCTGAAATACAAAGAGGCTTCTTTACTTGCCCGTGTCATCTTTGAACATCCACCATGCTCGAATTGTGAATAGTGGAAACCATATTCACAACGCGAGTATCCCTCCAGGACTGAAGAAGGATGTCCCCCTTCCGTCAAAGAAACTATCTCCAAAAAACAGTGACGCAAATTCAGACACGTCCGTTGGGTCTGATGGCATCTGCTTCACCCCTGGTTCACCAGTAAACTTTCCCAAAGTGGGGTTTTTGTCCACTTTATCCCATGTAGCTGTCCCGACACTCGCACTTTCAGCGGAGCTCTCACTTTCACTTGACACATTTTGGGCAGCCCTGTGGCCTCCGTCACTGTCACTGTCAGTGATAATGGCCTCGATATCAGAAGACGAAGCATGTGGCAAATATGATAGCTCATCGGAGAACATATCTAATATTTCCTGTCCTCCGAGAGATCGCAACTGCTTTCGTCTCTGAGCCATGTTGAACTGGTAGCTGCGTGGTTCATACATGCAAGCTTGGATTAGAACAAAACCAATTTTGTTTAGGTTGTGACAGGAAATGACTCTGGTCGAGTTACTAGATAAGGCAGCAATAATTCCCGAGGTCATCTACGCAGTAGTTACGATTCAACGAAGCCACACAGCGATATATAGCGTTTTGCAACATAACGTGACCGTAGAGGGCCATATGGCCCGACCGGTCCGCAACGCTTGGAAATGTAGAGGGCCATATGGCCCCTCCGGTCCACAATGTGTTAAGAAAATTTTATTAACATTTCTAAACATCTGTGATGACTTGTCCTATATCATGTATAATGATCCATGGATATGAAGTAAATAAATAAATATATAAATAAATAAACAAGTTTCCATATTGTTTACTTCAGTAACAACATGACAAAACTGGATTACTACTGGCATTAAAATATCTTGTCAACATAAAAGAATTTTATATAATATTAGTAGACATAGTAATGATCCAAAAATGAAACTTTGCTTTAAAAATTATTGTCTCATTTTAAGAAAAAGTAATTTGTCAAGCAAAGAAACCACATTATAATCAGTTAATTGATACTTCTAATAAGAGAATAAAAACTTCTTGGAATATCATAAGAAATGTATTTCATAAGTCCAGCATCGCTTTGTATGGGGCTGAGACTTGGACACTTAGGGCAGTAGATCAGAAACACCTGGAAAGCTTCGAAATGTGGTGTTGGAGAAGGATGGAGAAGATCAGTTGAACCGATTATGTGAGAAATGAAGAAGTGTTATTTAGAGTCAGTGAGCAAAGGAATATCCTACACGAAATAAAACGGAAGGTTAATTGGATTGGTCATATCTTACGCGGTAACTGCCTTCTAAAAGAAGTTATTGAAGGAAAGATAGAGGGGCGGATAGAAGTGACCAGAAGACGAGGAAGAAGACGTAAGAAGATGCTCGATGACCTTGGGGACAGAAGAGGATATTTTCATTTGAAGGAGAAAGCTCTAGATTACATCAAGTGGAGGAACTGTTTTGGAAGAGACTGTGGACCTGTCGTCTTGACAGATTACAGATGAATGAATGAATGAATGAATGAAGTCTACTAGATCCAATCACATGCCTTCTTCATTTAAAATGAATAACATGAATTTTCAGTTTGAGATGCAGCTGATGTTTTCAATGTGTATTTTCTGAATACAGCAGATAATTTACAAACACATATTGAATAGTAATTCACCTCTTGGATCATTAAAGAATGCTTATCAGACTGTTTTTCTGAGTATGAAAGTAATTCTTGTAACTAAAGGAGAAATTATTAGTATAATTTGTTCCCTAAAATCAAAGAAGTCTTCTATGATTGTATCACATCAAAAATATTAAAATTGTATAGCATGGCTATAAGTGAGCATTTTACTTATATTTGCAACATGTCTTAATGACTGGTGCATTTCCTGATCCTTTGAAGTATACAGTCATGTAGCCTTTGCATAAAGAAGGTGATAAAACTGACATAGCAAACAATAGACCTGTTTCTTTGTTGATTGTATTTAGTAAAGTTTTAGTAAAAACTGTGTACCATAGGTTAAATCAGCATTAACAAGTGAATAATGTATTGGTGCAGGAACAATTTGGTTTTAGGAAAGACTTATCAACTGATCATGCTGCTTTTTTCTTACCACTGACATACTTCAAGCCTGGAATGATAAACTTCTAACTGTTGGGATTTTTGTGACCTTGCCAAGGCGTTTGATTGTGTTAATCATGAGATATTGATATCCAAATTAGAGTATTATGGTGTTCAGGATTGTAATTTAAATTGGCTTAAATCCTATCTGTTAGATAGAAAAGAGAGAGTGCATCTCAGAATTGACAATGATCATGATTATTTCTTGAAATTGGAAAGGGTTAAGCAAGGTGTTCCCCAGGGGTCGGTCTTAGGACCATTTCTGTCTCTTATTTACATGGTGCAAATGTATATTAACAACTTGCCATTATGCATCAATAAATTTGCCAGAGTTTTTCTCTTTGCAAATGACACCAGTATTTTGGTCACTGGAAAAAATCATTGTGCGCTTAGGGACAAAGTTGCAGATACTTTGTCTCTCATTGTAAATTGGTTTATAGCGAATAAGTTGGTCTTAAATAGTAACAAAACTAATATTATTAATTTTGCTCCTAAACAGTTTGCTAACTTTGCTGGCAGTATCCTTTGGAAACGTAATGAATGCAGTCCCTGTAATAAATTTGTTGGGTATACAAATTGATAATAAATTGAATTGGAAGAGTCATGTGGAATACATCCTTCCTAAACTCATTTCTGCTATTTTTGTAATTAGGAGTTTATCTTATTTTATGAATTTAAAAACCCTGCGAATGGTGTATTTTTCTTTTTTTTTTTTATTATTTTTCTTACTCATTCTATCATTAAGTATGGAGTAGTCCTCTGGGGCAGTTTGACTAATAATTTTAGAGTTCTTAAATTACAAAAGAAAGTAATAAGGATCATATTCAGAGTGGGACCCAGAGATTCATGTAGACGTCTTTTTGAGAAATTAGATATTTTACCATTGTCATGTGAATATATTTTTTATTTGATGTTGTTTGTGATAGATAATCAAAATAATTTCTGTTCAGGTTCAGAGGTTCATGGCCTGAACACTAGAGGCAAAAATCAAATTTATATTCCAACTTCAAATATTTCTGTTTTCCAGAAGGGCACTATGTTTACTGGTATTAGGTTATTTAATAGATTGCCAAAGACCATTGAAAGTCTTAGAAAGGATAGAATCAGTTTTAAAGATAATTTATTTTCATATCTCATGAATAACTCATTTTATACAGTTGATGAATTTTTGGAGCATGTACTAAATAATTAGTTAAGAGTGTTTGTTTAGCTTTTTATTGTCCTTCTGCTTTGTTTGTGTTATGCTTGTGTCCCGTTTCATGCCCATTGTATTTTGGACTTGTGAAATGTATGTATGTATACAACTAGGCCAATATATTGTATAATTCATAATTTTTACTCCTGATAGCCTCTCAGTACAGACAGAAACATTTAACCAACTGCCATGCCCCTTAAATTCACTCTACTGTCATGCTATGAAACCAGTTAATTTAAGTGCCTTTTATACCTTACATTTCACTATTAAGGACATCAAGGAGAATAAGATGGATGGGGAAAGTATGAAATGAGAGAGATGAGAAGTGCATACATTTTTGATCGCATAGTAAGCTCAGATTATATTCTGGGAGTGACACAGGTAACAGATGTAACAACTAAGCATAATCCATATGTTCCATACATAAATACCACATCTGTCTTTGATAATTACTAGCAGCAGCTAATTAGAATGTAGTTTGAATTTGCGGCACATAACAGAGAAATGCCTTAAAATTTTATTACAAAACTAATACAGTTGATTTATACTACAAAGTGCCATTCAGTTCAGAAAGTTTATACATATAATTAGAATGTATGAAGTGTAAGTAAGATAGATGGTGTTCTAAACATTTTAGTATGATCTTTAAACTGTGAAAAATTTTAATGTGTTAGTAGATGTTTGTGATAAATACTGAAATTTATCTTATACTCTGTGCAGAGAGTCATTGATAAGCTGATAGTTACTGAAGTAGCTAAGAAATCGATTTCCATGTTTAAAAGGTCCTGTCATTGAATCCTCTCATGAACCAGAAGAATTTATTTCTACCTGTACACTCAGTTTACTTTAAGACCCACATTAATATTATCCTCCTGTATGTGCCTAGGTCTCTTAAGTAGTCTCCTCCCCTCATATTTCCTGATTAAAATGCTTCATGCATTTCTCTTTTCTTCAAGCCTGCTTTGTCCATCTCAGCCTTCCTGATGGTATCCATAATACAGACTCTGTATGTTGGAAAGTACAAATTCTATAGCTCTTCCGTCTGTAGTCTTCTCCATTCTCTTATTACTTTCTCTCACCTATGTTAAAATGTTCTTAAGCACGTTGTTCAGAAACACCTTCAATTTTAACTTGTAATTTGAAAGAATGTTTCAAGTATGTAACAGTGTTAAACTCAGTTGAGAGGAAAGAGATAATGGCAAAGTTTGGTACTTTATTTAATTATTTATTCATAAATTCACAGGTTCATTGGTGAAAGGTATCTGGAGTTTGTGCTGCCAGAGTTGGACACACGGATATTTCAGAGCTAAATCAGTGGGAAATAAAGAGGAAATTGAAGACACCTGGATTAGAAAATAAGAGAATGACTATCCATTCCTTTTCAGAATTTGAAATGCGGAGACAAGGAAATAATTAAAAAAAAAATGATTTCTTCTTGTGTTGGTGAAATTTCTCCTAATTTATGTCACAGCTGTCAACATAGCAGTCAGCCACCTGATGCACAATCTCAGAGGCTAAATGAATTGTGTCCAGGAAACAGGGAATTGCAAGATGATATTGGTTTTAAGTTTGAAGAGAATTTGCATATCCCTCAGCTGCAGCCACCAACTTGGAAGGCTGATACTAAATATGATTTATTAACACTTTATGCTAACCTTCCAGAAGCAGATGTATATTTCAGTGAGTGTCTAGAGGCAGAATGGACAAAATTGATTACACTTCAGCTACAGTCGCATGTACAGTTAGAGAAGAATAATATACAGCTATTATTAGCAAGGAACCAGGTCATGAAAGCCCAATATGATAGAGAATATCAGGAGTTGATTGTGGAACTGGAGGCTGTAAAAAGTGACATCATGCAGTATGAAGACTATATAAGCAGTAAATGTTACAGCTTTAACAATGAGACATGGGAATACTTGAAAAACGTTGGACGTAATGAACTGCGAAGCAGGAAACAGATGTATCTGCAACAGAAGATGCACCTGAAGCAAAGAAGTATAAGTTGTTGGGAGGAAATGAAAATATATTACCAAATAATGACTTATTTGAAAGAAGAGGAGATCAGACGACAACAAAGAATGGCAGAATGCTCTACAAATATGTTACATCACAGAAAGCTTGGAAGGCATTTGCTTCAAAATGTTTTGAATAGGGTTACAGAAGAGCAGAAGGAAATTGCTACAAGAAAATGTTTGGTACTGAATGAAATGAAGGCAAACGGTCTCTCACAACAGAACAACACACACTGTATCCTGAAAGTACAGAAACTGGGGTGTACATTTGATTTTATGCTAAAACACAGGGTTTACAGTTGTGGAAATGTTTGTGCATATAATGACATGGTTGATATATTTGAAAAGAGAGTACCATCCCCTGAAACTCCACAAAGCATACACTGCATGCAGACACTGTTAATAACTGCATTGGAGAACTACAATGCTCGACTTGACCAAGAAATAGCGTTATACTGGAAGAAGCTAAAACATACAGCTTCCACTGAGAAGGAAGGACAGAAAAGATTAGAAAAGGATGAAATATGTTCACCTGTTCTTCCAGAATTTTCTGATTCAAAAGGAGCTTCAGAGACTGCACCCTTCGATCTTAGTATCCTGCCTGGATCTGCAGATCATAACCATGAAGAAATTTCGTTTGAATTCACAATGAACAAAGTTCCTGAAGTTAAAGCTGTAAACAACGAAGAAATGAAGATATATTCACAACCAGTGTTGCAAGTTTCTTCTGTGTTCAGAGAACAACCAGATGATTCGGATATTCAAAACACTCCTAGTATGGCACTAGAAGGGACAAGTGAATCAACTCAAACAGAAAAAAGGAAACAGGTTAAACCACTGAAAGACAAAGCTGAGAAATTGGGATTCAAGCAGCAGGAATATGACGCACACAAACTATGGAAGATGAAACCAACAGCTGAAAGGAGAGCAAAGATGGCAGGCATGAAAAAAGATACTTCGTTGGCAGAATTGCTAGAGAAAAAACTTACGTTACATATCACTACCACAGGCTCAGAATTGTGTGAAATTAGGAAAGAGAATGAAACGCTGAGGAATAAATTAGATAAAATCTTGAGCACTTTACAAATGAAAAATGATAATAATGAGCAACTGGATAACAAAGGGAAAAAACTACTAGATGAAAGTGAACAATTTACCACACAGAATGACAAAATTGGTTTACAACTTCCATCAGTTGAGAATATGGATTGTGGAGGTAAAGGAGCATGGATAACCCAGGAAGAAAGTAGAGCTATGTCTTCAAGAAACGGAGAGAAAGCTAAACTGCAACATTTATCACAAGACCATATGGTTACAGGAACAAAACAAGAGAATATTCCAGCACAGAAGGACAAGCCTGAATGGCAGCTTCATTCAGATGGGGTTCCAAGAGCCAGCACATCCAGAACAGAGATCAAAGAGGATTTCATGGCACACGAGAATCTTGGACTGCAGTCTCATACTGCACAAGTTTTAGTTCTAGGAGGCAAAGATGCAGATGCAAATAAGAAAGGGACCCAAGAGAAAATTACTGTGCATGGTGTTGAAGTTGGCTTACAGATTTCATCAGATGAAGACTTCTGTCTAGGAGATGAGACAGAAGATCATGCAGCCAGGAGAAGAAATAAGATGTTGATCCAGAAACTTAGCCTGTTACTTGATTGTATTAAAGAAGATGATAGGCCTGTATCAGAGCATTTTGTAAGGCATATAAAACGCATAATAAATGTAAACAAGTTGGTGTCACCTCCACTGATGAAGAAACTGATTGATACAATCACAGCAAGATCCCAGCGATTGGTTACACTCCATCATGGAAATACTACATTGGCTGTTAAAGCTGAGGTAAGAATCCTTTTAATTGCTTATAGTTACCCATGAAAATCTAAATTGTATATCTTAACCAGATTTTTTTATTTTTCCACATATAGATTCATTTTTGTTCTGATGGTGCTTTGCACATTGACGTACTGGAAGCTGTCATTTGTATGTTTGATTTTATAGTTTTATGAAAGTTAACAGTAGATGAAGGAAAAGCATTTCACCTGCTGCTTACTCTTTAATCTTGAAAATGGTGGCAATATGTTCTCCTGAAATATTGGTAAACTTGTACGAGACTACAGGGCTGTCTATACATTTTTTTTATATCAAGGAATAGCCCTTGTTACAATGCCATAAACTTATAAAAGATTCTGTATTATGGTTACTTACACATTTTTAGGAATTTGGTCAAGATTCTGGAGCAGAAAAACTGGAAGATTTGGAGATAAGTTCAGATACAATGGACTCTGGTGACTATTCATCTAGTAGTACAGATTCTGAATGTTCCCTGTCGGAATCTTCATACTCAGACTTTTGTTGACCCAAGGACATGGTGCATTTGTGAGCACTTTTTCCATTAAGACAGATTCTTTATGGGACTGTTTAACATTAACAGTTCTTAGTTGGTACTTATCAGTGTGTTCACTTCCATATGCAGGGATTTTATTTACAAATTCCTGCTGCATACACAGATATCATTCAATGCAAAACAGTTTTTATAGACAAGACTTAATGTTTTATGCCTCAAAATAGATGTCAACATATGTCATGTTCTTAGTTTCAGCATTATGAACTGTTATCAGTTATAATTCAGGCATACCCTTAATGCCTTCTGCTATTGAATTAGAGGTACCTTATGTGCCTGTTCCTTCAGTCAGGGTATTGGGGACATATATGCGAGGTGAACACATACATGGTGCTAAGGGTCTGCATGGAATCATATATTAGATAATGTAGTGCCCTGTCAGTATGCTGTGACATACAATCTTACATACATAGCTTCATTACAGTGTTATTGTATAGAGTCAAATTTTCTAACATGTTTTTATTCAGAATATTTTTTGGTGTATAAGACATTCTTCCCTGAAAAGTGCTCAGTAGAATTTCTGTCCTTTTATGAAGTCAACACAGTCAACTCTTGAAGTATCACAAGTCCAAAAGGACCAAACTTTCTTAAGCATTGGAATAATGGAGAAGTGATGGCAGGTACATGAGATAGACCAAAAAATAAAATAATGTCAAATTATTAAGTAAATGTTAATATTTAATCATGGAAATTACCATTAATTGGTGTTGTCAGAAGTATTTTCTGTGTCACATTGCACTGATGTATGTTTTCATCAGTACCAAAACTTTTTTGTTCTAATATTAAATTCTGGAAACAAGGTATGTCTTGTACATTAACAACTACAGTAATGAGATACATAAATGATACAATGAATTGTGATGACATTTTAAATGTAAATCATAGTTCTAAAAGTTACTGGTGTTGGGTACAAATAACCATATACAAAATAAGGCAGTGACTAGATACAGTGCAGACCATACATTGGCGCTCTTCCTGTTTCTTGTGTGGTGTATAACAGTCGCTGATTTTTCATCTCAATAAATGTAAATATATTTTATTAGTGTTAACTCATTCACCCATGGAGCTGAGGCCTTATTCAGAAGCCACCAATTCTGCAGCTACTCCAGAGCTTCCCAGAATTTTATGGAACCCAAAGGTTCATTATTGTGTTCACAAGAGCCCTCCACTGGTCCATATCATCAGCCAGATCAATCCAATCCATATCCCATCCTATCTCTCTAAGGTCCATTTTAATATTGTCCACCGACCTATGTCTTGTTTTTCTAGTGGTCTATTTTCTTCTGTCTTTCCCACCAATATTCTACATGCATTCCTATTCTCCCCCATTCATGCTACATGCCCTGCCTCTCTCATCCTCCTTGATGTGATCATTCTAATTATACTTGGAGGAGGGCACAAGTTACTATGCTTCTCATTATGCAGTTTTCTCAAACTTCCTGTCACTTCATCTCTCTTCGGTCCAAATATTCTCCTGAACTCCCTGTTCTCATACACCCTCAGTCTATGTTCCTCCCTTAATGTCACAGACCAAGTTTCACACCCATACAGAACCACAGGCAAAATTATAGTTTTGTATATTCTAATTTGTATGTTTTTGGACAACAGACGAGAAGACAAAAGGTTCTGGACTGAATAGTAGCAAGCAATACCCAAGTTTGATCCTCTTAATTTCCTCCTGAATCAGGTTTTGATTTGTTATCGTTGTTCCCAAACATTTCAACTGTGCCACATTTTCAAAACATCTGTTACATATCTTTATGTCATGAATTTGCCCTGCATATTGGTGACGAGACAGTAACATGTGCTTAGTTTTCTCTGTGTTTACTTCTAGACCAACCTCTTTACTTGCGTCAATTAAAGTTTGTGTGTTTTTCTTTATGGTATCTACATTATCACCCAGTAGATTCATATAATCAGCATAGAGCAACAGCTGATGTGTCCCATTTAATTTCAGTCCCACCTGGTTTTCCTGGACCTTCCTAATGGTATATTTAAAGCAAAGTTGAAAAGAAGTGGTGATAAAGTATCTCCTTGTTTTAGACCGTTCTGGATAGGGAAATTATCAGACAAATGTTTACCTCTGTAGACTTTACCATGTGTTTCTTTTAAACACTTTTTAATCAGCGTAACTAGTTTCATGGGTACCCCAAACTCTGTCAGAATATTATACAATACTTCCCTCCTAACTGAATCATAGGCTTTCTTGAAGTCTATGAATAGCTGATGTACTGTCTCATTATACTCCCATCTTTTCTCTAGTATCTCATGAATGCAAAAGATCTGATCTGTAGTTGATCTGTTATGTTGAAACCCATACTGATGATCCCCAATGATTTTGTCTACATATGGAGTTAACCTTGAGAGGAATATTGGATAAAATTTTGTATGAAGTTGATAGCAGTGATATCCCCCCATAATTACTACAGTCAGTTTTATCACCTTTCTTGTGAACTGGTACAATAAATAGACTTTTTCCACTGAGGAGGCAAAATAAGTTGAGCACATTAAAAAGAAATTGCATTTTTCTTACACATAACAAGAAGTACCTCTATATGAAACAAATTGTGTGTGGTTTCAGTGAAGTAAATTATATTTAGTTGGGGTTATTATACATGATAGCAGTTACAGATTTGCACTGTGAGCAGAAGAGTTCTGGTAATTTTAGCCTCCAGGCAGGCTCTGTGTTTCTGTAAAGAAAAGATGATGAAGGTAATATGCAATGAAGACACTGAATTCTGGATTGATATTTTGGGAAGCACTTTTCTTTCAAACCTTCCATAAAAACAGATCAAATAAGTCATATATAAATTACTGTGTAAGATTTGAGGCGGTGACTATGAAGAAAGCAGTCTCCTGGGATTTGGCACCATGTATATGTGGTGTTAACCTGTTCTCACGGTCTCTTCACCTGCGGATTTCTTATATTTTTCCTTCTGCCCTGAAGATGGAGGCGATACGTTCCTCCAAAACGTCTGTTAACACCACATATACATGGTGCCAAATCCCAGAAGACTGCTTTCTTCATATAAATTGCTGTTTGTACACATTATTGATCAGCACTTCTGCAGGTTGGAAGCTGGATGAAAGGGTGATGACCTTGCTCTGGAAAAAATTATTGTTGTGAAATCCAAAGAAATGGAAGCTGGTTGGTCTGATTCTCAGGAATAGACAAATCTGGCAGAATCTTTTCAGGAGGGCTATGGCTTTAAAAGGGCTGTTTTGCCAATGATGAATACTAAAACAAAATTTTCACTAGTATGAACTTCTAATACATTAATTTGTGAAACATAATTTTTTTAAGTTCCATTACTTTTGCATGTTACTATTTTCCAACACGCACAAAAGGAAGTTTCATATAAGACCAATATAAAATTTACAATCTGACCCCACCACTAAACCTCTAGTAACTATAAATTATGCTAATGTAAAATGAGAAATGATGTATTTTAAGCAATCACAATTTTATATTTTCAACAAAACTTGTCATAAGAAAAGTTGAAAATTTACCATGCTCTATTGCTATTGCTATAATCATTTGGTCTGTGAGCAGGCCTCCGTGGCTGCTCTAGCGGTTGTTCTTGATCTTCTCGCCTTTCATTTGGTGGCAGAGGCTGAGTCTAGGGGGTCAGCCTGCAGGTTCCTTCATATATGTGGTCAGGCACAGGAATGAACACATGCATACCCACCTAATGAAATTGAACCATGTCTTTCAAATGAGTCAAGACAAAATGATACCAATGATTGCTTTTGGAACTCTTTTAAGGAGGAGTTCCTACTATGCAAACATTAGTTATCAACTTGGCCCATGACTTTTTAGTCCAGAGGGCTGGTCTGGTATATAGATGCTTCGAGAATGACTGTCAGGTCTGGGCCTGGTGTATATGGGGTGAGACTGAGGATATCAGCCCCACTTGGTGCACATGCCACTGCTCCTGGCACAAATATCTGTGATTTTGGTCTATGCAAAGGACTATAGACGGAAAGAAGAAAACGTATATTTGCTCAGCCAGGCAACTTTGTGGACCCTTAAGGCATCAAGATTAACATTAAAGCTGGTCTGCAAATGCCAACAAGCAATCAGTGCTCTGTGCCATCAGGATAAGGTCACACTCCTCTGGGCCTCTGGCCTCAGTGGGAGTTAGGCCAATGAATGTGCAGATGACTTGAGCAGGGAGGGTTAAAGTAGTCCATTGCTCTGTCCTAAACCAGCAATTTCAACCTCACCATGTGTTGGTAGGCCTAAGAATAAAGAGTGGCTGATGACAGTCGAAGCTTTTCATTAAAGGGCCTTCAGAAAACCTGTCCAGGGACCTACTGGTCTTGGACAGGGACCACTGTGCATTGAGATGGCACCTACATGTCATGGGACTCTCAGATAATGCTATGTGCAGAAAATGTGGACAGGATGGGGGATCCTCCACATACTTTGACTGGGCATAGAATATATTGACTCTGCATGGTTATAGCCAATAGGGATCAGAAGGGCATAATAAATGAACCTTATTCAATTGAGGTAACACCATCCCAAAATAAAGCTCCTTGATTTCTTACAGTATGTAATAATATAGCAGAAACAGGAATTTATGAAAGTGGAGCAACACTAGCACCACTTAATTAAGGAGCTGGAAATGATCTATGGTATCTTTGAATATACAAAACATCTGTCTCTTCAGAATCAAGAAGGAAGTATGAAAATCAAGTGACCACTGAACAAATGTTAACAAATTTTATGAAATGTACAAGTATATACACTCAGAGCAAATCTTTTGGTGTGGAGTAGATAGTACTGCACAATATCTACTGAGTTAGTCTGATTGTGCGCCAGAAAACTTAAACTAAGTGCAGGGTTGTGAAGAAGGAACCTATTCAAAGCAACTAGGAGCACCAAGAATGCCATGGTGCAAGAAAATGTGGGACTGTACACGCAGCACAGATCACACCTCAATTTTGTTAGCTACTCTCACCATCAGTAATCATTCCGGTTTACATAGCTACCAGTATGCTTCTTGCAGCAACCAGTATCCCTCTTCTACACTAATCATACCATCATGTGTTATCTATCTGCATTGGTTATTCAAATTCATAAATCAGGGTTTCTCAAACTTGTGATACCATTCCCCTCCCCATCATGATATACAGTGACAGCAGAAGCCTAAAGAGCTCTGCACGCTCTCTGCACATTTAGTATGCTATAAAATATTATTGTGCAAAAAAAAAAAAATTCACTGGCTGCAGCTATATTTATGAAAGCACCCATACTAACTTCCTACATTGCCAGCAATGTAGGTGAATACAATTGTTTTAGATCATTTTGAAAACTTTGCAAGCCCCATTAGAGTAGGCCGTGACCCCAAGGTTGAGAAGCTCTGACTTACACACTCAATGAGATAATCTTAAAAAGAAAAGTGAATATTCTCTATGACTGGTAACAGACCTAAAGTAGTAAAGAGTGTCAGATTAGTTGCTGATGATAGTGTGGTTACTGATCATTGTAAGCCCTGCATTTCAAAGCAAGAGAAAATAAAAAGAGATGTTGAAATTAAAACAAGACTTGGTAAAAGTGTTTAAGAAATATATTTGCCATCTCAGTACATTCAGTTTCATTAATCACAGTCTTTTCTACAGCACTGTTCTCCAATTTTCATTGCAACCCGTGTGAGATATTTAATTCTGGAATTGTCCATTTAACATTTCTTACAAATAGTAACATCATCCAAGATTTATGTAGTAACATTCTCATAGGCTTCTTGACAGCAAGCCCTCTTATTATATCTGACATGGTTTTGCTGAGGAGTGAAAATGAGCAGACACTTCTTGACTGAAATGCATGCAGCATTAAATAAGATAAAAAAAAAACATGTTTCTTTACATTCGGGGAAATATAATAAATTATGATCTGCTTTAATAGTTTGTTCAAAGAATAATTGGTTATATGCATTTCAATATGACCACATCATTACCAGTAACTGTTCCAAATTTCACAGGCTGAAAACAACTGGGAAATACTAACCACTTCTTATGCTGTGTCATATCACA